GGGGGGCGCTCTCACGGAATAGCACTTCAGTTGCAGTTACAATGCAGCAGATGAGCTGTGAACTTGCAACTTGGCCAATCCAAACTAAGCACCTCTTTTCCCTGTCTTCCCCTGCCCCTTCAGCCTGGAAAGGCAGACGTTAAGTGCTTGTACAGGGGTATGCACAGCAGCACACAGCTCTGCACACAGCCCATATATGCTTACCTGCCTGATTGTATAATTACTGTAATTGTACATGCAAAAGAGGAGCTGTGCATGCCAGTAGCTAGGTTCCCTCTTTGAGAATGATGCTAGTTAGGTATTACTGTGTACCTGCTAAGTGAGCTTTATTTCATGCCTAATGAATCTTTTTCTGAGCAAGTAGAGAGATAGGGCTCAGATGGAGTTTTTCTGCTTCTTGGGATTGTTGTCATAACTGCTGGAGTGAGAAGCTGTCTGGACACCTTGGCCACACTGAGAAGCCTGCACAAACCCAACCAGTACTGCTTTATCCCTCTCCTTGTCAACAGCCATCACTGCTGCATGGAGGCCAACTATGTGTGCCAGAATGTGGCCACTGATGCTGGCAGTGAGAATGGTTCATCATAGTTCCATACCTGCCTTCCTCTTCCTTATGAGAAAGAAAATTTCTGCTGCTATATTCTTGTAGCAGCTACTGGAGAATCCTGGAAAGGGGAGGGATAGGCAACTTGTCAGTGTTGTAGTTCTTGAGGATCTCTAACATCTGGGAGCCAGATCACTGTTTAATGCGGTGCTGAAGGAAGCAGGTCATGACTGTTAGTGGGCCCTGGGCTTCTATCACTAATTATATATAGATATATATCTTACAAAAACTCAAATATTACTGAGACACTCTTGTTAGTGTGATTGCAGTAGAGTTTCTTGGCCAACAATCCTACCATAGGTACATGAAAATAACAGGTGGGAAACAATACCCCTAAATGCATCCTGGAAAGCCCTGGCACTATTATCAGAGATGCCTGGGAGACTGGAACACTCAGTTTTCACTACTTTTGGATCCAGTTACTAGTCAGTCAGATGTCAGCCTTAGCCTGTGTAGTTTGTAGTAAACAGGATCCTTTGATCATGTAGGAGCAAACTTCTTGGTCCTGGTATGCATAGGCAGAGGGATCTGAGGTAGTACTTGCAAAATCTGTCCAGGTATACAAGTAGATTGTATTGGAATATCTGCTCCCCCTAGTATTTTGGAATATGACTGCTTAATACTTTCTTTACTGTTTCCAGTTTCAGCTGCTGATTGAAGTCACTTGGCCTCTCTTTATCTTCTGCATCCTCATCTCTGTAAGACTTTCATATCCACCCTCTGAACAGCATGAATGTAAGTACCAAACATGGCAGCTGCACCCAGTATAGCCATTGTTTCATGGTTAGGTAATGCAACTGGCAAGAAACAAATATGCAACCATTAGCTCTGCTACCTCTGTCAAAACTCTTCAAGGCAAGTTTAGTGGCTCCTTTCCATATCAAACTGCTCCCAAAGGGGGGGGGGGGGGAGGCGTGGCTGTAGCATGTTTTAACACTGTTGCTGATCCAAGACTGTAAGCTGCTGCTGGGTTTTTTTTTTTTTGCACTTATAGTATATTAGCCAAGAATCTGGCATGCAAGCATGACCAGTATACAAAACCCACAAGAAGAACCTAAGCCTTATTACTCATCCTTGATCTGTACATGCCTTTGAGTTAAAAAGCAGTGTTCAGTCTCATTTCCAGGCAATAGTGATGTGAGTTGATGTATTATACATATTAAAGAATATAAAAGGAACTCCATTCCTTCTAACCACAGACTGTCAGCTCAGTAGATTCAGTGGTCACATATGTTTGTGGGGAAAATCAATTTACTTTGTCTCTAGATAAGTGGACATATGGCTGCTTTCCTCTTTAAAAGAAACTTATTCCCTATACTGCAAAGGAAGATATTCAGGCCCCTGGATTGCTTGCCATTTCCTTTAGGAAGCAGGGCTTGTTTGTCAGCAATGCCCTTCATCTTACAGTGATGGTGACAGCCTCATACAATTAGTTTACTGTGGAAGAGCTTCTTGTTTCTTTCCGTTACCTGATTATTGCAAGGTAAGGGTTAAGGGTCAGCAAAGGGGAGGGAGGGGGAGAGGGAGAGAGGAGGAAGGGGGAAGAGAGAGGAAGGGGGAAGAAGAGAAGAAGGGGGGGAGAGGAAGGGAGGAAGAGGGGAGAGAGGAGGGGAGAGAGGGGGAAGGGGGAGGAAAAGGAGAGAGGGAAGGTGGAGGAAGGGAAGGGGAAGGTAAGGGGGAGAGAGGTAGGAAGAGATGGAGTGAGAGGAGGAAAAGGTTAGGGGAGAGGGAGGAAGGAAGGGAGAGGGAGAGGCAGGGAGGGGGAGAGGCAGAAAGGAAGGAAATATGGAGAGGGAGGAAGGGATTGGGAGAGAGGAAATAAAGGACTGGGGAAGAAGGAGAAAAAGGTAGGTCAAGAGGCAGGAAAGAAAGAAGGGAAAGGAAGGAGGGGAGGGAATGGGGTAGAGGGAGGAAGGAAATGGGGGAGAGGCAGGAAGAAAGGGAATGGAGGAGGGATGGGAAGGGAGGGGGAGAGAGGCAGAAAGGAAAGGGGGGAGAGGCAGGAAGGAAGGGATGGGGGAGAGGCAGGAGGGGAGAGAGGGGAGAGGAAGGGAGGGAGGAGGAGAGGGAGAGGAGGGAGAGGAAGGAAGGGAGGAGAGGGAGGAAGGAAGGGAGGGAAAGAAAGGCAGGGTGGGGGAGAGGAAGGAAGGCAGGAGGGGGAGGGGACAGCAGGAGGGGGGGAG